AGCTATGGAGTGTGTTTGTGATGGTCTGAGCCCAGGATGTTCATACCAGGCTAGAGTCCACTGCATCAGTGCAGGAGGCGAGAGCCAGGTATGTCTCACAAAACATGCTTATTGCTTTAGGACCAAGTTAAACCTTAATTTTAAATATTTATCCTCATTTATTGTACAAAAAATATTTCCCAATCAAATGCTCTCTAGAATGAAAATGTTCCAGCCTTTAATACCACCTGCATCACTGAGCTGTATAGTACACCACAAGTGACTAGTAGTAATGTGCAAATCTTAGTTTATTATGGCGCTTTTCCACTGCATGGTACGGCTCGGTACGGTTCACCCACTCTAAAGCGATACTAAACTGCAGTGGAAACGCAAACCGAGCCGTACCGTACTGAGCCGTGCCGAGCCGAGTTGTACGAGTTGTAAAGTGCCATTAATGCCACCCCACCCACCCAAAAAAATAAAAATAAATTTTATTTCAATATTAAATTTGTCAGTACAGGAAAGAAAATCGAGTTTAAGGACTCCCTTTTGTACACTTTTAAAAAAAGAAGTTGTGGAAAAAATATAATTTAAAAGAATATACTTAATATATATTCATCATTGAATCCATCCTCTGCACTTCAATAACTGTCTGGTTCAGCTGCGAACTGTCACAATGCATCCCCAAGAAATCATGTTAAAAAAAAGTTGTTTTTAACTATGTGGACTGGGGACTTTAACTAACAATGTTCAACTACTAACGATCTTCACTATTCTCTCTGTGGTGGAAATAACATTTTAAACTTTTTTCAGACAAAAATGTCAGACTCCTTTGTCTTGCTAAGGCTAATTTTATAGCCAACATTTTAAGCACTCTAAATACAATTAACATTTTTGCTTATTTTGCATCTTTGGTGTAAACATTTGTCACCTTTTTTTCCTTAGCTCCACAACTTTATCGTTAAAGGTGGGGTAAGTGATTTCTGGTAGCCAATGTTGATATTTCAAATCACCAAAACAAACACGCCCTTACCC